GAGTCCCAAATTCAGACGTCAGTAATAAGCTGGAGACATCTGCAGAGATGTATCCCCAAGTCCATAGGTCAAGTGATGAGAAGAGTGAAATGTTAGAGTATTCTGGTAAAATGTCGATTTATTGTTTAGAGGCAGAATATGCCCCAGAAAAAAATACTTTTATTGTTCTTGAGTTCTTCAACTGACTGATTGAGACACCCCCCCCCCCCCCCCCCCCACACACACACATTATGGAAGGAAATCTGCCTTACTTGAGGCCAACTGATTTAATTGCATGTTACAATGAGATGGATTGGAACCATAACAGCATCAATGGGCTCAAGTTTAACAATGATTATGAGGAGGCCACAGTACCGGGAAGTGTTTCATTCTGTTGTGAATATGGTCACTATGAGTCAGACCTGATGAGATAGCACCTATCAACAAGAACAACAAACTTTATAACAGCAACTAGACTAGTGTTTACTGAAGACCTGGGCACCATTGCTTAGCCTAGCTGACACATAAAATTAACCATCATAGTAACCAGTACTGCAACCTTATCTCCATCCTATGATGTTCTTACCTATGAAAGAATAAAACAAAAAGCTGAGACTCCTTCCCTTTTTTATTTTTAAAGTTTTTATTGTGAATTGAGTGACAGTTTACATAGGAGAACATCAGCTTTACATTTATCCTATCATATTTGATTTCATTGCAATGATTACAATCCCTTCCATGCATCATCATTCAACAGCATTTACTTCCATTCCCTCTGGGGTTTTTTGTTTTATTTTGTTTTTATGTACACCGAAGCACTCAGAAATATATAACCTCAAACAACCAAAGGGTATATCCTATCCTGCAAGACTGCTTCCCAGCCACCAGCACACAGCTTCTCTCCCTCCTTAAGTCAGAGTCTCCAACTGCTCTGTCTCTCCACATCATCATCTCTGCCTCCATCTCTGGTAACACTGCTTCTCTGGATAGGATTTCACACTCTGCTCTTCTCCCTTGATAATCCCAGGGTCCTCCACTCCTGGACTGCAAGATCAACCAATCTTCTTCTTTTGTTACACAGCATCTACCTTTACATTTCCAACACTCACAATCTGTCCTGATAGCAATTATTCACTATTGAACCACAAGAGTCTTATCCCTATCTCCTTTCACCAGCCCCGTCTAGACAGGTTGGAAACCACTCATTGGAGATTCTGCCTTTCCCCATGCCCTCTGAAACTAGCCTCCCTCTTGAAAGCTTGTAAGCCAGTCACTTCATGCCTTTGTAGCACCCTTCCCCCCATATTAGGTAGCCAATATCTAAGTTGTCCATCCCCATCAACCCTGGGTACCAAGGCGGGTGGGAATGATCATTGCTATAAAGATTCTTTCCCTCTTTTAAGCTGCTTTTAAGCCACTACATCAATAAGTAAGGAGCTCTGGTAGCGTAGTGGTTACAAATCAGGCCGCGAACCGCAAGGTCAGCAGTTTGCGTGAGAAAGATGAGGCTTTCTGCTCCCATAAAGATTTACAGCCTCGGAAATCCTGTGCAGGGTCGCTATGAGTCAGAACCAACTCCTTGGCACATTACAACAACAACAACAACAACAACATCAATAAGTATAAGTCAAGTTCATCAAATTGTAGTGGATTACACTTTCTTCTCTTCTTTCTTCCTCTGGTCGAGTTCTGATCATCCAGCCATTGAAGCTAGGTCAAATTGGTACTATCTGCAAGTATGGGGATTCTTGTGTATTTCCCCTCACTTCATATTAGCTGGACACTTCATTCTCCACTCTAGTCCTCTGTGGCTATGTCCCTGTCCCTGGGCTCAGGAGTCTCCAGGTCTCGCTATACTGCTGGCCACCCAAGTCACGATCCAGTTTGACAGGAGTCTATTGAATGTGGTTGGACTGAGCTCACAGCTTCATTGCTGTTTTTCCCCCACTTCCCCTTATCGGTAGACCAACGTGGTCACCAGCAAGATTACATGCCTGCTCTTGTGTTCTCTTTGAATTTCAGTCTTGGAAGGGGGTTTTCCCTAAGGGGACTTGATTGCTTGCCTTGATGGCTCCCAGGTGAGCAACTTGCTTGTTCTTCTAGTAGTCAATCAGACTGCCTTTATTGTTTCTTTGTTTTTGTTTTTGTTTTTTTTCCTGCTGGTCTTTCTTTGAAGTATCTTCTGTTTTTCTAGCTGCTCCAGGTTGGTCTGCTTGTCTTTTCAAATGGAAATTTCCCACCTCAGAAGATTCTGAATAGGGATCAGGATTCCACCTACAGAGATTGCTTCCCTTTTGACACTCTTCTTCCAATCCCTTCATTTATGAAGTGGCTACTTCTTAATTATATCCTTTGTGACTTCCAGATTCCCAAGGATGGAGATTGGGGTAGAGGAGTGTCAAGAGTTTAAGTCATTTTGCTCCATATTCAACCAAGAGCAGATTTCAAAGTCAAAGTATTCCAGGTTCAAAGTCTGATGTGGCCACTAAGACTTTGCTGGTGAGAGAAAGTTCCATTATCTGTCTATCTCAGCTTTTCTACCAACTCCCTCTGGTACCTCCACACTATCCTGTTACCTTTTAAGGCATCGTTTTCTTCATCTACCAAATAGAGAGACTGGGTAGTTTAATTTAATGGTTTTCTCTGGTTCTAACATTGTTCTTGAAACTTTGGCATGTACAAATGGTTAAGGCAGACAGCTGCTAACCAAAATGTTGGGGGTTCGAGCTCACTTAGTGGTACCTGGGAAGAAAGCTCCATTGACATGGTGTGGGAAAGTCAGCCAAATCCTACAGAGCACAGTTCTACTAAAATACACATAGTGTTTCCATGAATCAGAATAAACTAAAGGGCAACTGGTATAAGATGTCTGTGGATAAGAAAGTCCCAGTGATCTAGTTTTAGGAAGTCAAACACCAAAAACCCTGTAGAGCACTGTTCTACTGAGATATACATTGTGTTTTCATGAATCAGAATGGTCTCAAGGGCAACTGGTTTAGCATGCTGCATGTTTGTGAGTGGTTAAGAGGTGCTTGGCAATAAGTAAGCCATTTATGAGAGAGTGATTTTCCATCTAGTAAGTATCCTAACATGGTTCCCTGGCTGTCATAAATGGTTGACACTCAACTAATAATCTGAAAATTGTTAATTTGAACCCAATCAAAAGTGCCTTGAAAGAAAGAACGGGCAGTCTGCTTTTGAAAAGTCATAGCAATGAAAACTGTATGGAGTACAGTTGCATACTGTAATTGTGGCATCTCCATGAATATGAATCTACTTGTTGACAGTGAATTTAAGAATCCAAAAAGAAACTAGCCTAACATACTTTACTCTACAAGGATTCATGCATTTAGTAGAAGAAATTATTTTAAGGCATCCCTGCCTTATTCATGGTTCTTAATCCTCTCAAGCCTGCAAATAATTGTTTATACTTGAGGAAGCTGAATTGAGAGGTGAAGTGATTTGTCAAAAATCACTTTGAGCTAGAAGTATAATCCAGTTTTCTGACTCCACAAAATATCTCCAATACTCAAAGAGAGAATGGCCAGCCAACTTTGTGAGTATGTGCTTGTCTTGTGCCTTCTGGTCATACCTATTGACCTATTGCTGCCTAATACCAGCCATTCTCTAAGATTGATGTGGAGAACATACTGTTCTGATAACAACAGAAACTACTTTTATCTCTTGGAAATAAGAAATTATCTTTATTGTACACTTTTTTACTCCAAAAGCCCAGAATCAGAACAGCTGAAATTTGAATTTAGTCTTTGCCGTCTGTTGAGAAAAACAGTGGTGAGGGTCTAGAAGCCCCAAAACACATAATATGGCATCAGTATCAGTATAAATCCCTTGAAATAGCATTGCTCTCTGAGTTGTCCCCTAGCATGAAGCCCATGATTACCTATAACTAATCAGCACAAAGCCTAATTTAAAAAGCAAGTGCCTTGACTCTTAACTGGAATCATATCAACTTTGGGGAGACTCTGGGTAACACATCCATTTAACAGTTATTTCCTGAGCACTTCTTTCCCTTCAGACCACTGTAAAACTAAGTGAGAGAAAAACGATCCCTCAGTTTACAAAGTTTACATCCTTACTAACTTATATACGTATTTCTGGTTTATAAAATGAGTGGAAATGTGAGGAAACAGATATTTTAATATATGTAATATAGTTGATAGGTACTTATCTTTGAAATCATAGAAATGCTAGGGAAAGAGGTAAAAAAAAAAAAGAAAGAAGAAATGTCTTTGGACAAAATTGGTAAACCATGGCATATACTGCAGTTTTGCATAAACGACAGTGTGCGTTTTGTGTTAATTTGTCAACCTGTCCCACTCACTATTTTCATAAGTACTCTCTGCTACTGTTTTTGCAGCAACATTAAAATATATATTGGTATAGTGTGCTTACGAAAAATAAATATAGAGGTGGACTGGGTAGGTTGGCATACGAACATAGAATACAAATGTCTTTTGTGTACACATATGGTAGTTACAATGACCATATTTTTTTGCAAAATTGAGACAGTGTGGCAGTATGTTTTATTTCCTTTCTAATCTCTAAAATTGATTCATGTGAAAACTTTATCCAAAAGTATAAAACTGAAATCACATTTAAGAATGTATTTAGTGGCTCACTTTTATTTAAAAAAATTAAAACCACAGTCAACAAAATCCAGCCTACCTGTTAATATGAGAACCCTATTGTATTTATCTTAGGACGGCCAGTTTTGAGCTGAGTATCAGGCACAAAGTAGGCATTCTCTAAATCTTGGTTAATTAAATGAGTGAATAAATGGATGCTCATATATCTATACATTCAGTGCTAGTGTACCTAGGACAATATTATCCTAACCCATCAAGATGTTAGCACATTGCATAAAGAAACCTGGACCGGGTGAGGCAAAGGGATATACATGATTGGTGGCATCAGTTGATGGTATCCGACATGTCTTTGGGACCAGAGGGAATTTTCAAATGAAAAGACTGAAGTAAAAACCATGTCCTTCCTTTCAACAGGGCGTTGTTGCTGGCGCTCGTTCCAAAGGAGAGCACAAACAGAAAATCTTTTTAACCATCTCCTTTGGAGGAATCAAAATCTTTGATGAGAAGACAGGGGTAAGTAAAAGGATCACATGGCATTGTGAAATTAAATCCATTGATAGATGTGCTGGTAAAAGTCTCTGCTCTCTGGGTAGGAATATCAAACAAGCATAAAAACACATAAAGCAACTGACAAACTCGATCAACTGTGATCGTCCATCAAAGGGAACTTCTTTCCTGACTTGGCCACAGTGTTATGGTGTCGTGTTTCTTCCAGGGTAATTGTGATAAAAGTGTCACACCATCCAGGTAATCTAATGGGAGATTGATGACCTTTGAAGAGCAGCGGGGAGTGTGACAGTTTAAGTTAAATATCTTTGTGGCTTGGCAACTTTAATGACATATGTCCTAGAGGGAAACACATGTAGGGCTTTTGACTCAGTCAACGTATCAGACTCTCTTGAGTATAACCTGTGGCACCAAGCAATTGCTGTAATCGAAAAGAATAAATAGAATTCTCAACCTTAAAATCAAAACAACAACAAAAAAAAATCTATTACTGCATGACCAGGAAATGTGAGGCTGGTATGTGTATTGAACCCACCAAAGAAGTGACTTGTGTTTGCATCACCCTCGATGCTGCAATTAGCTCCCCGTCTCATCCCTAGAGTTGATCTGACGTAGCCAGGCCTGTTCATTGACAGTAAAGGAAAACAGAAAAGTGTGCTAAGATCCAGTTTGCTGAGAGGACAAGAGTTAGATGAACATGTTTTCTTCTTATCCATTCAGTGCTTTATAGCTTATAAAACACCTCCTTTGAACTTCACAAAGGTAATTTATCAAGCACTTTATAAACAATTAACCAACCAAGTTTCTTACCCTGACTTATTTTGGATTACCATTTTCTCTCGTTTGTCTTGACTAGTATTAGGATTCCGTAAGGGTAGTAGGATCATCACTTAAAAGTAAAATTAGTTTTCTTGAAAAATAAAAAATAAAAAATACTGAAGATTAATGTCTCCTAAATAACTAGTAACAGCCACTCCCATATGTTGAGTGTCTAGGTCAGTGCATGTTGGTGAACACATTACTCAGTTTCATCTTCACAATAGTCCAATGAGAGCATAAAAACTACTTCTTCAAGTAGATGTTATGTATCCTGCATTAGTCTGAGTCTTTTATATGTCTCAGATCATTTAATCCTCACAACAACCTTAATATGTTGCTGTGGAATTAATTCCAACTTATAACAGCCCCATGCACTACAGAGTAGAACTATTTATGAACAATCCCCCCACCACCACCACCACCACCATCACCATGGTACCACTACTGAATAAAAAACTCAACCTAGTGACATTGAATTGATTCTGACTCATAACAATCTTATAGGACAGAGTAGAGTTGCTCCTTAGGGTTTCCAAGACTATAAATCTTTACAGGAAAAGACAACCTCATCTTTCTCCACCAAGAGTGACTGGTAGGTTTGAACCACCTACTTTGCGACCTTATGCTTAACCCATTTTGCCACCAGGGCTCTGCTGAGCAGGTTGAAATCAGGTCTTTGTATTGGACTGCAAAGTTGATTTGAACCACTAGCTGTTTCTCATAAACCCTATGAGTAGGAATTGACTCGATCACACTTAACAACAAAAGGGAATTAATCAATATTGGAAAATATTCATATTTTGGGGTACCTGCAGAGTTGTTTGAACTGCAAGGTTGGTGGTTCAAACTCCCCAGCTACTCCTTGGAAACCCTTTACAGGGTCGCTATGGGTTGGAATAGACTCTATGGCACTTAGCAACAACAGGTATTACTAGGAGTTCTGGTGTGTCACTGTGGGCTAATGCGTCAGACTGCAAAGTCTTTTGGACTGCAAGGTCAGTGATTCAAGCTCACCAGCTGCTTCTTGGAAATCCTATACAGGGTTGCTATGGGTCGGAATCAACTCGATGGCATTTAACAACAACAACAACGTGTATTAACTAAGGATCATTGGAAATACGTCATTTATTAATATTCTGTTATTACAAGAAGGAACAGTAATAATTCCCATTAACAAATCAGGAATATAAATAAATACATCAATATGGTATTTCATTTTCAAATCATACGCAAGAAGACATGTAGACAGGAGTTTCATATCTGAAAAAAAAAAAAAGCAAAAACCATCACTGTGTGATCAATAATTGTGAGGCTGATAACTGTGCTGAACCACTGAAGATTCTGTGAGTGTCCTTGAGTGTTTGTGGACTCATTACAGATTTTCCAACACCAAGTTTTGTATCTTTCCAGTAAAACTCATCACTCTTCTCTCTCCATTTATAAATTTTATTCCATACAACTACTCAAATTGTATGCCGTAAAAATCATGAAAACTTCAGGACTACAATGATAAGCTCATTTCTTATTATGTAAGGCAGTGATCTTTAACATTTAAAAACTATGCCATATCCTTATTGCCATAATAATATTTGTGCATTTTGCTGATAACTTGGTTTGTTGTAGTTGTTAAGTATAGTTGAGTCATTTCCAACTCATAGTGACCCTGTGTACGACAGAGCAAAACATTGCATGGTCCTGTACCATTCTCATGGTTGTTGTTACGTTGGAGCCTCATGTTGCTGCCGCTGTGTTGATCCATCTCATTGAGTGATTTCCTCTTTTTTGCTGACCTGCCACATTACCAAGCATGATGTCCCTTCCATAGGGACTGGCCCTTCCTGAATAACATGTTCAAAGTATGAGAGACTAAGTCTTGCCATCCTTGCTTCTAACGAGAACTTATACTTCTAAAACAGACTTGTATGTTCTTCTGGCACTCCATGGTATATTCAATATTTCTCATCAACACCATAATTCAAAGACATCGATTCTTCTCCTGCCTTCCTTATTTGTTGTCCAACTTTTGCACACATATGAGACCATGCAAATACCATGGCTTAGGTCAGGCACACCTTAATCCTCAATGTAACATCTTTGCTTTTTAACACTTTAAGTAGTTTTTTGTTTTGTTTTGTTTTGTTTTTTTGCAGCATATATGCCCATTGCAGTTCGTCCTTTGATTTCTTGACTGCTTCTTCCATGGGCATTCAATGTGGATCAAAGAGAAATAAAAGCTTTGACAACTTCCAACCTTTTTTTTTTTTT